TAAATATCGTCCTAGCATAAAATCTAGCCTTCGTCCATTTTCGGTAAAATATTTTTATTCATACGAAAATTACTCGTTTTAATATTTTTTTGATATCGACATTTCCTTTCTTACTGCTTTTTAAATAAATCTTGATTTCTTTTAGGCCTGTTGAATCAGGTGACAAGCATATATTGACATGCATTCACCCTATTTCGTTTAAGATGTTAAAGGACTACTAGTTGAGTTTTCCCACAACGATGAGTAGAACTGGCCTCTCCATTGAATTTCAAATACCCTTGCTTTCCAAATATGTGTTCTCATCTAGGGTGGACTGCAGTTCTGATCTCGCATGGGTCTTACCAACACCCTCAGCGGGAGTCGAACCACGACAGTTCTGCGTATAATCTCGACACGTTAACCACTCCGCCACATTGCCACGAGGGTGATTGGGTCACAGAGCCTATATGAATTTTAAGGAAGGCCAGGCATTTTCCCATATCCTATTCTTTGGTGTGATTGTCGCTGAAGCAAAGTTATATTTGCTATAATGACCGATTACATTACTTATTTTTCGTTTATAAGCTAATTCTCGGGGCTACAAGTAAATCAGTTATATGAAATTTACTCCCTATTTCGTTTGAGGTTATGAAGGACTTCCATCTGATCCAAGGGCAGTCTTGGCAACATTGCGTAGCGGTTAACGTGTCGGTGAGGCCAACTTACGAATCCCTTCCACTCGCCTCTTCAAACGAATTCAAATGTACCCCAACATCAATTATTAGAAACCCAATTAGAAACCCAATTAGAAACCCAATTAGAAACCCAGTTTTTCTACATAATGATTTTAGTTTGTCTTGTATTAATCCTCTTCAAGCTGGAAGCCTTAACATTTCACGAAAAATTACAAGTTAATGATTTCTCCAAGATGACCAAAACTTCATTTGACACACTTGTTATCTTGATTGGTGAAATCAATCGCCCCAGTGTCTGGTATTATTTTTAAGCAATATTGTATATGCCGTGGGTTTTCAGGTAGCACCCAATGCCAACTCTTTGAAAAATGTCGTGGCTTTTTATTTAACTATCTGAAAAATAAAACAACAATGCATCTTATCAACGAAATAGCTTGGGTCAGGTTCATAGCAGTCACCTATAAATGTAGATCGTTGAAAATGATAATGAACAATTTTTACAAGCAACCCACTTGAAAGGTTTTTATTGGTTCTTGTGATGTAGAGTTGAAATTAGTTCGTTCTAACTTTCATTCATCATTTTATTACCCTGATCCTTTTCTGGATTTTTCTTTAACTTCTTTTTTGTTTACAGGTTCGCCTTCTACATGATCCTAATGGCAAGGCTCGACTCATTCCATCGCAGATGCTTGAAGAACGTCGGCAGGCTTTTAATCAGGAAAAGTTACAAGGTAAAATCTGAATTTTAGTTTATTATATTTTTCTTATATTTTATTTCGTAGTAGGTACCTTGATTAAAATTAAGGAATAATCCACAAAGCAATTCAAGTCTTTTAAATGCATTCCCCTTTTGTTTTCTGCTGGTATTTCTCTTAAGAGTT